TAAGAATGGTGAATTGCATAAAATTTATGGTTTGCGTTTAAGTTAAAAAATGTTTAGTTCATTTGATTTAGTTTCTCATAAATAGTTGATTATAGAAAAATTAAATTGGCAATTTTTTTTGCCTACCGGAGTTCTTATATTTTGCACTATAATAATTGATTGAAAGATTTTTTTTAACGATCTAGTATAAGACATTGTCTTATGTTATTTACATGTGTTAAGAGAGAGTTATACATTACTATCTCAAGTTGTACATTGTTATAGTTTGCTATAAAATTGTATTTTACAGGTTTGATTGATATTCGATTTTTTGTTTATATTATATTTCAATTTTTTCAGTTAATTAAAAAAACAACAAACAATGGCAATTTAGTTGGTGTAGTTTAGCTACATTTAGAGTAGCAATTGTCCCCAATTTATCCAATTTTGTTTAAATTATACTTTTTGTAATTATAAATTATCAAATTTTATGGAGATTTTATTGTCTTTTACTTTTAAAAAATTAGTTTTCAAAAGCTTGAAAACATAAATTATCAAAATATTATGTTGATATTGGATTATCAAACCAAACTTCCCTTTTAATATTTGTTTTGTGCCAAAATATATACCATTTTTTTTAATGAGTTATAAAATACATAAACTGATGTTGAGTTGACCAAATTATATATAAAATTAATCAACTTTAACGACCGTTTAAAAAACGTTAAACGTCGAACCGTTTAACCAATGATCAAACCCAAACGAAAAAGAAAGGACAATCAAATCTGAGTTTTAATCAATACAAATCTCCATGCATGTTCCATTTTCCCTGTTTAAAAATACACACTGTATGTAACAAAAATATTTCCCCCTTTTAAAATTACAAACCTTAATGATAAATCATTACCAGAGCAAATTGAAAATGTTTTTTTACCAATATGTTATTAAATCTATAATTAATAGGGTGGTCTACCTCGAAGAATTTGCAGAGATTTTATTAGCAGATCTCTTGATTGATTCGATTCTCTGTAACCTAATCTGTTCTCTGAACTTTGCAATGAACTCATCAGCTTTCTTGTCAACGTCACTTCCATTGCTGCTTTCACAAGTTC